TTTGTATAGCTAGGCCTAGTCACGGACAGCACCGCCATCAATGTTAGCTTCTTCTCCTTCACTATCGCTGTCATCATTTTCATCGGAAACATCTACTACAATGAGTTGAACAAATATCGCTTGATTTTTCACTCTCATAATGAAGGAGAATACGTATTAAATGACCTAAAGAGTGAATATACCAATCCACAAGAGTAATGTTGAATATTTCGCCTAATTCCTGTCTCAGTTGCTGATGTGTCGTTGATACGACGAAATATTCAACATTACTCTTGTGGATTGGTATATTCACTCTTTAGGTCATTTAATACGTATTCTCATCCACTACAATGCCACGAAAATCTTCTTGCTCGCCATCTACACTATCATTCATCAAAAAGTTCGTCGATTACTTGTTCCACAGTATATCGCTGCTGCGCGGCCATGTTGAAATATTCGAAAGTGAGCTGACGTTTTAGTTCGATTTATAAAATATTTTTCAATAAAAGTTGTATTCAAGAAGTTCAAAGTGTAAGAAACAAATGAGCATCAGAATGATATATAAACAGTATAGGGGGCGAAATCCATGTACACTTGGATGTGTCGTACTATCGTGCCTACAGCATTCAACGGTAAATTTTTCGCTGTCGCACTATATCTCGGTTTTTGTTTTGTTTTGTTTTGTTTCGTTTTCTTTTTTGGCGTCATCTGCTTTTTTTTTTTTTTTTTTTTTTTTTTTTTTTTTGTATTTTGAGACCCCATTGGAAATAAATCCTGTGTTGCGATTTAAAGAGTTATCCCAGATATCAACAATGATGACTTGCTTTTTTACTTATTTTTGTTTCTCTGTATTCTGTTGTTTCTGATTTTGTGATGTTGTTCTGTTAATATCAAATAAATCAAATCTAATCCAAATAATATGACCACAACATAAGGAAGTCCTAAAATTCTAAACTTCTAAGCTTTACGTAGCTCAATATACATTTATATTTTCCTAAATCATAAGGAAGTATACTTGTGTTGAATAGGCATAGGTAGTACAGAGAATTCTGATTGACTGTCAATCTCAGGTATCCAGCATTAGCACCGACGTGATAATTTTTACCTAATAACTTCGATATGTATGTTTTATGATTTTTATAGAATATACTTCTTTAATAATAACATTACAGTCTAATTATTATGACACAACATAAAGAAGTCCTCTCTGTAAATATTTAGCATAATATTATAGTAAAGAGAATTTCCATTGTTTATCAATATCAATATACACATGTTAAATCCCACAACATTACGATTTATGCACGCACCGACGAAAAGTTTAAACATAATAATTTTGATTTGTACATGTTTTATGTTAGGCCTATGTGGTGATTACTCTTAGTTAATAATAATATTGCAGTTTAAAATTCATATTATGATAAAAACTTGACCATAATATAACTTATTCTAAAAAGAAGCAGAATAATGCAATTATTTCAACAATTGTACCCTGACTAAAACCAAACTTGATAGGTGTGACTTTACTTCCACCACAAAATTAATTAAATATGCATAATCATTTTTTTCTGTGATGTTAAAATAACAAAATATAATAAAATCATGCCTTCCAATAACGGTATAAGTATTAACCATACACCGTGACATATAAATCAAAATTTAAAAATATGAAAAACTCAACACAGCCGATTTAATTACAGTCTTTTTTTAATTATTAATGTATTTAGACAATGCAAACATGTATTGCATTTTTTGTTGAAGTAAGTGGCATTTCAGTAATCACTTTATATTTGTTTAATGTCATTTCGTCTCTCACCCGGACCTTCTTATGGCGAACGGTGCAAAGTTCTGGATCCACGTCTGCATGTATTGATTGAAACTGTAACAGAGCAATATTATTTGAACATGACCGAATCCGTTTTGGTATACCAAATATACCTCCTCAAACAGAATGATTGTGTTTAAAAACGGATATAATAATTAGACTTTATGCACTCTTTTTCAAATACAGGTCTTAATCCTGTCTCTTATACACATCTAGATGTGTATAAGAGACAGCTTTAAAACAATGCTAAAAACACACATTGCTAATGCCAAGATAGACACATTTACTATTGAGCTGAGCGTCTCCTAGTTAGTAGTGTTTATTACGTAACGTTTGTCATGCACTGTAACATGGGCTATAGAAATGGAAAACCAAATCGTAATGGGAATGTACCTCCATCGTTGTAAAAGTGTAAGATATAGGCTAGTGTGGATTTAAACAATGTCCTAATGGTAATGTTAAAAATAAGAGTCAATAAATGTAAGTATGATTTTTGAAAAAAAATTGTCTTTTTATTTCTCACCCTGCCCTTCGCTTGGGGGAACTTGGCGAAAGTTTGATCCGCACCTGCATGCATTCCTTGATACGGCTTAATGTACGTGGGCCTACAAGTTGCAAATAATTTTGTTGGCTTACTTTTTTTCTTTGACGACAAAGGATCATTTATTACATCATAATAGTACAGAAACAATTTCATCACAGCATTTCAATATAATAATGGATTATAATCGTGAATAATATCAACTGAATTATTTTCCTATCTCAATTCTTGAAAAAAAAACCATATTCTAATGTCGTCACATTAAGTAATTATTATTTAGTGAAACATTGTTATTTATGACACAATATTTTGACTTCTTTGTTGTCAAGACCTGGCATAGGTTAATTTTGATTGCTTGAAATAAACCAAATATTTGTTTAAATCTATATGTAAGTACAGTACTTAAGTCCTACTACGGTATTATGCCCAGTAATATGACATGTATTTCAAAGTAGGCCTATATTTAATATTGTTATACATAGATACGCACAGTTCAAAGGTAGATGGTGATTTTCAAATTAAACTTGATTCATTGATTGATCTAAAACAGGAAAATTTTTATGTTTTTATAATTTTTGCAACAGGGATGTAAAATGACTTTCTCTATGAAATATTTATATAGCATCCCAAAATGGTTTAGTCAATGATTTTGTTGGATTTTAAAAGAGGGAACAATGTAACTGATCCAGGAATAAAAGTTTACCATATAAATTCATAAAAATCATTAAAAATGGAACAGGAACAAGATTACAAGATTATTTAATACTTTGAATAATACAGAGGTCCTTATATTTTTACAACAAAACAGAATATAATCGAATATATATGAGTGTCACATAACATAACCAATCATGATTTTTAAGGCATCATTTTATATGGGCGTTTGCACGAAGATATTTATTCAAAATTATCACAATTTTTCATTATAAATAGATGATTTAGGTTGTTTATTTCTTTTTATATGATCCAATTAATATCTATAAAACTAAGAAAAACGTACTCACACGACGTTTCGGTGATACTCTATCAGCATTCTCAAGTCAACTGTGCTGACACCTTCTGTGTTATTTTTTACATCTGTTTTGTGCTCGTGTAGTCTGGTTTTGAAGGCTCTCCCGGTTTCTCCGATGTAAACTTTTTGGCAGTTCATGTATGTAATTTGGTAGACGCATACACACGTTTCTTTAGGATGTTGCCTACGGTACCAGATTTTGAGTGAAGTTATTGGTTGGTTTGAAGTAGGTATTGATATTGTACTGTTTTAGTGTTCTTCTAATTCGTTCTGACATCCCATGATTGTAGGGTATACCAACATTGCCTCCTTGATTTATTGCTGAAATCGGTTTTGTTTTCTGTGTTCCTGAAGACTACCAGTCGTCATAACAAAAAGACGACTGATGGCAAACTTCGACCTCAACACGATCAAGGTTACACTATGACCAAGCTGTAATTACATCACAGTTCACTTGAGAATGCTCGTAGAGTATCAGCGAAACGTCGTGTGAATACGTTTTTCTTATTTTTTAAAAATATATATTAATTGGATCATCTATAAATATATAGACAACCAGATGATTTTTTTTTCCTCAATGATATTGATTTTTAAAAAATATTATTCTTTGCATGTAACTTTTTTTAATCATTTTTGTTTTTCGAAATGTTTCAGTTCCACACATTTTTGTTTTGTATTTTAATGATTTCTTTTCAATATCAAGCCACATGTTATAGTGTTCAAGACAACATATTTTAAGTGAAATGAGTCTTATACATGCGCAAAAACAGTAACACACATTACATAAATTTTAGAATAATGATAAATCATCAGCCCATAAAATTTGGAAACAAATTCTCCGAGGTCGGCAGCATCGGCAAATTTACTACCTAGGCCTATATAGTATAAACTGAATGACGACCTTACATCGTCATCTAGATATTGTGATTTTGTTAATTTCTCTATTAAATCAATATATTGCTGGTGGAAGAATGGTCGTACTTGTATTAATATAATAGTGTTGTATAATAAATATGTTTTACATAAGAAAATCGCCGAATAAATTTCGTTTTAGTCTTTGGCATGGGAAATATAATTTTCGTAAACGCTACGATGTATCATAACAGGCTGTTTCAAAACTGCCCATGCATGTCCATGCGCATGCCCAGAATGATCTATCAGGGATTTCCCAAGCTACACTACACTACAATACTGCCCTCCCATGGCAAAAGGGTATAACTGACAATTTGCTGTTTGGAGATATTAAGGAAAACGTGTAATTTATTTAGCCTTAAAATTTGTTTTAGTATTTGATTTCATGGTTAATGTATTCAAATAGATTAATAATGTCTCTTCCAGTGTAGCAAACATTTTTTCTATAAATATTTATTTTTGTGCATAAAATGTCAGTTTTACCCTTTTGCCGTGGGTTTTCTGATTCAAGACATGTTGACAAACTTTGGCAAAGGGGCATAAGTACACAGTTTAGTTTCTTACAACGCAATTTTAAGTCAGATTATTCAAAAATAACATTCGATATATAACTTCATATGTTAGTCATGTATAAACTATCAAATAAATAATTTTATTTATTTGAATACAAAAAGACTTTGAAATAACTATTGTATTAATGTGTTACTCTTTGTTATTTTATGTTGATATAGATCCCTAGGACTCCGGTTGAGGAGTATGCTAAATTCAGGTATAAAGATACTGAAGAACAGAAAGAACAAATGCTTCTGTTGCTTGCTACAGGTAAAGTAAACTTTCCTACACCAGATGCCATTTAATTTTTTCAATAACCTATTGCTTTTGTTTTAAGTTCTTTTTTTAAATATATATTTTGAATTTCAAGACTAAACGTATAAAGTAATAAAAAACAGCAGCACTTTTGAGACTAACAATATATAATTTATTCTCTAAGACTAAACGTATTAAAACTGTTTTACTTGACGTCAGTCAGCATTTAGAAATTTAAAATACTAACATGCAGTACACAAAATGGCTGTCAAAATACCATGTAGTTCATTATACAGTTTTTAAAATAGGTTAGACAGATCTCTCAATCAAGTGTTCTTTTTTTTTAATTTTTTTAAATTCTTTTTTTAATGGAAACATATGACGTGGAAGCGGCAAACCTTTTTTTTTTTTTTTAAATAGGGATTTGGCTAAAACGGCGTCCCCGGTTGGGTTCTTTAACAAGACGGCACTCTAACAGCTTCTTAGCTTTACCGGTACATAATTGAATTAAACTAGTGAGTTTTGCTCCATTATCTGTAGATTTGATATCTACTGCCTTATCAAAGCTCTAATGAAAGGTCAGTATTTTAGTGGATCGCCATCAATGGAGTATGTTCGTTTTTGGTAGCTGTTAAGCCTCTACAAAAGACTGCTGATGTATTCTGGAATCATTGGACATCTGGCACATCGCATTTGTCAGTACAGAAGTTTCATTTGAATGGCTGAGGGTTCCCAAGAAACACGGGATGGTTTCTAAGTTTTGTATGTTTTTGGTATATTATCAACATCTGTTGGATTGGTTGTCTGCGCTGGCTGGTTTATAGAAACATCAAATTGTGTCCGCTTCGATGTAGCCAAAAGAATAACTTCAGGTGTAGAATTGACGAAGCGCACATTGGTGTCTGTATATTTTGTTTTAACAGCTGTATCTCTTAGTTTGGTCGGCATCGTAGGTTGGTCTGACGGAACATCTACCTGAGGCCGCTTCGGTAGTGCAAGGTATATCTTCTGGTTTAAAACCTGTTTCCTAATAAATATTTTGTGCTTTTCCTTTATTTTCTCCTATTCAAACCACTTTCTAAAGCCACCTGTTCTTGTAAAGCATCATTTTCCCTTTTAAGAGCCTCCATTTCATCCCTCAATTCAGCTTTTGCAATGATAACAGCACTTAATATTGTTGAAGCTTTCAAATGCCAACCACTCCTAACTTCGAATACAGATTTGAGTATATCCGATTTTTGAGATTCTTTTTCAGTAATATTTTGTTGTCATGGATTTAACGTTCTCACGAAATACTACGACACGAGACCAATGCTGCTGCATGTACTCTTCAGCATCATGAATTTCCTGCTCATCAGTAAGAAAAACATAAAATCCAGTTATACTACGGTGAATTTCAGTGAGATCTACCACGAGCCAAGCTCTCTTCTAACAACAACGTTTGTATTCCTCCACCATCTGAAGGCTCTCCTGTAGGGTCTGACATCAATCGGTAATAATCTTGCAATTAGGAAATTTCAACTCCGTAATTTTGAACTGTAACGCTCTCTCAGACATTATTTTAAATTACAACCAAGCATTTAAAATCACACGCTGTATTACTCTCTTCATTTATTGGTATAAGGTTATTGTGGTTGTTTATGGTATAATACACAATATTTTCCATCCAATGTAATAATATACTAACTATTTAAAATTAAAATAACTTTATGAGGAGAAACTGAAAATAAATTTTAATAACACAGGGCCGGCGGAACGTTTTTCAAAGTGGGGGGGGGGGCACTTATAAGATAATGGGAATATGAATCATGCAGATCTGGGAAAACCTAGGGGATGGGGGTCAACATTTTTCGCAAAAAGGAAAGGGGATCCGGGGATCCTCCCCCGTGAAAATTTTGTTTTCTAGATGGCGGGAAATGACCTTTCTCGACTTTTGAGCTAGGTTTCTAATGACTTTGTTCTTCAAAATTCAAGGTTTCCCCCTCTTGAAAACGGTCAGGTAAACTTTCTCAATCTTATGAGATCAAAGAAAAGGAGCGGGGGTCCCGGGGTTCTCCCCCAGAATAATTTTGAATCCTAGATGGCGGGAAATGAGTTTTTCACACTTCTGAGGTATCTTAATTACTTTTAAGTAAATTTCAAGGTTTTCCCCTCTTGAAGACGATTAGGTAATTTTTCCCCATTGTTATTACAGGAAAAAGGCCTTATGTGTGTATACATAGGCCTACATAAAAATAAAAAAATTCGTAGTTGCATACGTATTCTTTTTAAATGAATCGATAAGCTCTAAAGAAAAATGGGGTCCGAGGGTCCTCCCCCAGGAAAATTTTGTTTCCTGAGGTGTCTTTTAACTACTTCTAAGTTCTTCAAAATTCAAGGTTTTCCCCTCTTGACAATTATTATAACGAATTAATGGACCCAAAGAGAAAAGTGAGGTTCGGGTTCTTCCCGGGAAAACGTTAATTTCTAAATGGTGGGAAATGAGTTTTCTCGTCTTCTGAGGTGTATTTTAATTACTTTTAAGTTCTTCAAAATTTAAGGTTTCTCTTCTTGAAAACGGCCAGGTAAATTTATCCCTGTTATTACAGTAGATAGGCCTCATGTGTGTAAGCATACATTTAAAAAATTGAGTAGTTGCATACGATATTTTTTTCCAGGAATCCATAAATCTCAAAAAGAAAGGGGGGTCCAGGGGTTCTCCCCCGTGAATATTTTGATATCTAGAAGGCGGGAAATGACATTTCCCGACTTCTGAGGTGTCTTTTAATTAATTTCAAATTCTTCAAAATTCAAGGTTTCCCCCTCTTGAAAACGGCCAGGTAAATTTATCCCTGTTATTACAGTAGATAGGCCTCATGAGTGTAAACATACATTAAAAAAATTGAGTAGTTGCATACGATATTTTTTTCCAGGAATCCATAAATCCCAAAAAGAAAGGGGGGTCCGGGGGTTCTCCCCCGTGAATATTTTGATATCTAGAAGGCGGGAAATGATATTTCCCGACTTCTGAGGTGTCTTTTAATTACTTTTAAGTTCTTTAAAATTTAAGGTTTTCCCCTCTTGAAAACGGTCATGTAAATTTATCGCATTGTTATTATAGTAGATAGGCCTTATGTGTGTATACATACATAAAAGAAAAGTGAGTACATGCATACGTTTTTTCCATGAATCCATAAATCTCTAAAAAAAAAAAAAGGGGGTCCGGGACATTTTTGATTCTTAGAAGGCGGGAAATTATTTTTTCCGACTTCTGAGGTGTCTTTTAATTACTTTTAAGTTCTTCAAAATTCAAGGTTTTCCCCTCTTGAAAACGGCCAGGAAAATTTATCCCTGTTATGAAAGTAAATAGGCCTTAGGTGTGTATATGTGTGAAAAATTGAGTAGTTGCAAACGATTTTTCCATGAATCCATAAATTCCAAAAAGAAAGGGGGTCCGGGTGTTTTCCCCCGTGAAATTAATTTTCCCGACTTCTGAGGTGTCTTTCAGTTACTTTTAAGTTCTTTAAAATTCAAGATTTTCCCCTCTTGAAAATTATTATAATGAATCAATGAACCCAAAGAGAAAAAGGAGGTCCGGGTTCTTTCCGGGAAAATGTTAATTTCTAAATGGTGGGAAGTGAGCTTTCCCGATTTTCTGAAGTATCTTTTAGCGATTTTAATTTAAGTTCTTCAAAAGTCAAGGTTTCCTATCTTGAAAACGGTCAGGTAAATTTGTCCACTTTTTATTACAGTATGTAAGGCCTTATGTGTGTATAAATACATTAAAAAAAATGAGTAGTTGGATACGATTTTTTTTTTCATGAATCAATAAATCCGAAAAAGATAGGGGGTCGGGGTGCGATTTTTTTTTCTGTACGAAACATTTACATAAAACACCACTCGACTGAATCGACCCGAAAATCTCATAGTGCAGAATTCAGGAGGTCAAAAGGTCATCAAGAGATGAACGTCTACAAAACAACCTGAGAGAACGTCGCTGTCTAATTTTTACAAATACAGTGATGTTAATAAACAACGGAAGCGTATTGCTGCCAACTAAACAAAAAAATAAAATTCAGATATTATCTCGTTATTACGAGATATTATCTCGTAATAACGAAATAATTATCTCGTAATTACGACATAATATCTTGTAATTACGAGATAAAATCTTGTAATTACGAGATAATATCTCGTAATAACGAGATAATTATCTCGTTATTACCAGAAAATATCTCGTAATAACGAGATAATTATCTCGTTATTACGAGATAATATCTCATAATTACGAGATAATATCTCGTAATTAAGAGATAATTATCTCGTTATAACGAGATAATATCTCGTATTAACGAGATAATTATCTCGTTATTATGAGATAGGATAAGTGTGGGGAATTGTGGACTTTAAGCATATTTTCATAAATTAAAAAAAATGTAGATTGAGTTATACACCTGAAAGTGTTTTTATTATTATTATTATTTAATTAGCTAACAAGCATTAATTACACTGGGGTTAAGTGTCCACAATTACCTACGGGTGTAGGTAATTGTGGACCCAATTTTTAAAAATCGTGTTTTTTTCTAAGACACCCCCCCCCCCCGGCTCAGTAGTTGCTCCCATAAATACTTATCCCCATAAATACTTAGTCCCCCAGTCGGAAATCTTAGCTCCCCCACCCCAATAAATTATATCCTAGAGCCGTCCCTGCTTTGAACAAGTCATTCCATTCATAGGAAAAGCCTTTTGATGGAGAATGTATACTTTTTTATCAAGGTTTGCCTACGTCGAAACTAACTCCGGCTATATCAATTTGATTAGAAGATTGAAAAAGTTATTATTGTTAATGAAGGATTAATAATATAGATTGCTATGTCCATTTTATTGATCTAATCTACGTAAATTTACTTTCAGAGTTTATATTTCGATAACGAAATTGTTTAGATATTTATTTGAAAAATACATTATATGAAATAATGTAATCGTTAACGTTTAATAATTTTTGATAATATTTAAATAAAGCAATAAGATTAATT